AATCTAACACATAGAATATAGTGATAGAATATAAATTCAGCAGTATGCTATATTGTGAAAATTCCCGAAGCGTACCAAATGACTAGTCAAATGGTAGTTATAAGTAATAGTTCGAACATTTTTTTTTTCTATTGAGACCCAATATGTTATTTAAGAGTTTGTAATGTGTGTTCATATATGAAGTGTAGTTGTATATATAGTGGTAAATACTAAATAACCGTTGAAAAAAACCGTTAACTAAGTGTTGTAATTTTTTATTTATTTTTTTATTTATTATTATTATTATTATTATTATTATTATTATTATTATTATTATTATTGCTATTATTATTATTGCTATTATTATTATTATTATTTTTGTTGTTGTTGTTGTTGTTATAGCCCGTTTAGCCCGAAGCCCGCTAGGTTTAGGGTTATGTCCTTTTTTTGGTAGCCCTCGTTTAAATTCAGGCTTTTTAGGCCCGAAGCCCGCTAGGGCTAGCCCGTTTAACATCTCTAACTTAGTTAGGCTTTTTATCTCTATAGCTAGAGTTAGACCTTCAATTCGTAATTGTTGTCGAGTTTAAGTAGCAACTGAAAGCTGGTAACTGTTGGTGATAACACGGTCTATTTAAGTATACCACGCGGTTGAATTCACTACTTAGATTAGCATATTTTTCTAGATCCTAAGGCGGCTATACTATTAAATCTAGAGAGTGTGTTCTAGACTGGACAAGAAGTCGCGTTTAATCGTAGAGCATCTAGCGGTTAAATTAAAAATAAGGAATAATTCAAATAGCAGAGTGTGTTGCTATCTAGGGCTAGTAATTTTAAAAGATAGTGAAACTTGACGTCACAATTAGTTAGACTAGTCGAGCGAGGGCATAGACGGAACTGTGAACTAGAAAATTCTCTTACTTTATTTTATTTTATCTTTTTATTTGTTTAGATTTTATTTATTGCATTAGAATTAGAATTTTAGTTAGTTTAGTTATTAAATCCAATCCCCTTCCCCTCTCTTTTGTCGCTTTCTTAAATTCAATTAATACTAAAAATTCAAAAAGACCACGCATACACAAGATTTAATTTGACCTGAGAAAAAAAAATGCCGAGCAGTCAGCCGTCAGAAAAAGGCCGAAAAGAAAAGTGAGCTGCAGGAAGAAAGCCGTCAGGAGAAGAAAAAACACACGCGGAGGGAAGCCACACCCGCACACGATAAGGAATGATAATTTTATTCTTCTCTTTTTGTTTTTATTATTTATTATGTTACAGTAGAACCACTTGAAAGTGCTTAATTAATTTTCGTGGTTGATAATTTAGTTATCTTTTTAGAATTGTGCATGTTATTTTGAATGATTAATTTAGATTTGTCGAGTCTTGTTTAGATTGACCACATAGGTTAGGTTTTTAATCTTTATAGCTAGAGTTAAACCTTCAATCTGTAATTGTTGTCGTGTTTAATTCATAAGTAGCATCCAAAAGCTGGTAACTATTGGGATAATACAGCCTAATTAAGTGAACCGTGCGCTTGTGTCTACTACTTAGATTAACCTATTTTAGTATATTCTAAAGCGGCTATTGCATTAAATTTAGATAGTGTGTTCTAAACTGTTCAATAAGTCAGGTTTAATCGTAGAGTGTCTCTCGCTTAAATTAACAGTAAGGAAAAAATTCGGGTAGCAGAGTTTGTTGCTATCTTGGGCTAGTAATTTCAGAAGATAGTGAAACTAGGCATCACAATTAGTTGGACTAGCCGAGTGAAGGTGTAGACGGAACCGTGAACTTGACATCACTTGACATCACAATTTCTGTTAACTTATTTTATTTTATTTTTATTTTCATTGCTTAGATTTTATTTTCTTCTTTAGGATTTTAGTTAGATTAAATTTCATAAACGAAACCCCCCATCTGTTATTGTTTTTCTTCATTTAAATTAATACCAATGTTCTAGAAGTCGTTAGGCGCCCGCTAGGCGCTCGACCAGCGACTAGCGCCTAGTCGGGGACTAGAAGTTATAATAAATATATTATATTATTTATTTTCAAAATTTCACTAATGAAATTACAACTTATAATTAATAAATCCATACACCTAAGTCCCAATAATATTATACTACTATCATTTTTTTCATTTTTCAAATTTAAAGTTTTAAATTTTTACTAAGCTCTTCTCATTGTAATTTTATCAAACATATTAACTACATGTTATGTTTTAAACATTACACAACATAATATAATTACAGCAACCAACTAAACACCAAATTCCACTAATCACATCAACTAATTAACTAATTAATTTAACATAAATAATAATACAATACAACAAATGAGTAACGAAATAAGGAATAAAAAAAATATGTGCCCAGTAAATGGAAATTGCGAAAGTTGCTCAATCCCCCTTCGAAGGAAGGAAAAAGCTGCTCAGTAAAGTAGAAGCTACTTCTTGCTTCTTTCGCTTGTTCACAATCACAACTCTCCGATAAGCCAATTTCTTTATCTGAAAGATGTACATAAAGCCTCTTTCTAGATTATTAATAACACAATATCCCATTTTTTGTGCAGCACCATCACTCCATCACCCTAGAAGCATCGCTGTCAACAAGCCCCCCCTTTTTTTTTCTAAAAATCTGTCAAACCGCCGAGAACCCGCCTCAGCCGCCAAGAACCCGCCACAGCCGCCTAATCCCGCCAAATCCGCGTAGCCGCCGTGACCGCCGAGGCCGTCTAGGCCCGCCTAGCCCGCCTGACCGATTTTTATGGCCGATTTTAGCAAATCGTCGGCGGTGGACCGCCGCCTAGCGCCTAGGCGGCCGCCTAGGCCGATTTTTAGAACACTGATTAATACTAAAATTTCGTAATTTGATTCACACTTCTCGTGTGATCGACCATTACTCGCCGCTACTAATAGTTAGTAGAGGTTAGTTGAGAAAGAAAATATGAATTATAATTTTTCGAGTTGCGACGCGCGGTCATATGTCGCCAGCAAACCCAACAACATAGTGCGCGTCCTTAAGGAAATGTACGGGCGTCGCCGAGGGACATTGCTGAGACTGCAAACTGGCAAAACCGCTCGTCAGCTCGCGAGTGTCACCGAACACCACAACATTCGCGATCCACGAGTGAGTTCGTTGTCCAGCGAGTGCCGAACTATAGCATCTGCGACCCGCGATCAATACCACTACTTAACGAGTGCCAACTTTCAAGCCACAATGCTAACCGCTACTAGCGAATCTATCCGTCGGCTAACGAGTGTCAAATTTTAATACTCTGTGCATGTTTTAGTGCGTGTAGCACTTATAACTATAAATACATTTTGTTCTTCATAATTTGGAGACTATTACCTCATTTGCTAAATTTCTCTTTTTAGATTTTCTCTCTCTTTCTAAGTTCTCCTATTGGGAGAATTAGGTGCTCCTAGACCCAATTTTTATTATTTTACTTCTCCATCAAGATTGCAACTTTTTTGTTTATTTTTATTTGTGGATGCGAATAGAGACTTTGAGATCTATTTTAAGATTCAAGATCTCATAAGTTATATTTACTTTGCTTATTTATGATTTTGGGATATTTTATTAAGTAAAGTGAGAATTTTCATGAGTAGAATAGACGACCATCCTCGAAGAGTTGGAATTATGTGATTTTGTAATCAATTATATAGCGAGAATTGATTGATGTTTGTGATTAATATATCGAGTGATGATTGTTTGATTCCATATTTCCATACCTGTAAAGTATCCTCTTTCCATCTTAGGTTTTGGTGTTCATAGTTTTTTCTTGTAATTTCATTGTTATTATGATCTTGCGAATCTCTTGCGTTCGATTTAACTTGCTTTCACTTAGCTCGATATAGCTTAAAACAACCATAAATCTTGTGTTTAGAGTGTTTAATACAGTGTTTTCAACCTGAACCTGCCCGGCTAGTCGACCCGGACCCGGAGCTGAAATTGGGTCGGGTGGGCTATTCGGACCGGGCAACAAAGGACCCTGTCGAACCCGATCAAAACCCGACCAACCCGGCCTTGACACGGCTGGGTCAACTCGGTTGACCCGGTCCTTACATATTTTTTTTAAATATTTTTTATTTTTTAAAAATAAAACTATGTATATATATTTATATGGTAAATATTTATCATGAAATACATATTATTATCACTTTAATGAACAAATTTAATATACAAAACATTTAATTTTGTTACTGTTATGTATATTTATATGACAAAATACTTTATGTATAATTTAAAGAAATTTAAATTAATTATCCAGTTCAGCAATTGACCTGGTGACCCGACGATTGAATCGGTGACCCAGTGAACTGGAGACCTGCCCGAGTCGATTCTTGGACCGGATTTAAAAACTATGGTTTAAGACCTTTTAATTTTTCACTTTTGTTAATAAATCGTTGTTTGAATTCGATTTTAATTAGTCTTCTGTCAAAAAACAACTCCAGACTGGTATCTATATTTGTACTCGCGTAAAAACATTATAGAACAAATGAAAGATTAGACACGAATCTATATATATTGGGATGGTGGGTCACGCTCCGGTGAGAATGACTCTTAATGCGAGAAATAAGAATATATCCTAGCAATTAGATCGGATGATCTAATAGCTAAAAAACAGTCAAAATTGTACCTTCATTAAGGATATTGGTGTAATTTTACACACCACACACCCAAACAAGTGGGCCCCTTTCACAATCATCCACGTGACCCACCACATTAAACCAAATTAATGAACCTGACACCAACCCCACCCACCCTACTCCACCCCACCTCACCCTACCCACTTCACCCTACACTATCTCTCTCTCACACGCGTGCACACACACACACACACACATATTCACGGCCCAACACCGCCAGCCCGCCGCCGCATGTCAACCGCCTCCACCACCCGCCAGTCGCCGTCACCACTCGTCAGTCGCCGTCACCACCAGTACCCCCACCGCCAGTCAGTTGTCGTCACGGTTACTGCTCGTTCGCCATTGCTTGTCCGCCGCCGCCTCCACCGCTCTTCCGCCCGTCAATCTCCCACTACGCCGCACACAGAGCCGTCTAAGGCCATCTCGACACCAACTCTCACCACCTCCCCCACCGTTGCACCGCCTGCGAGGAGGCGGCGACCCTGAGCTCGCACCAAACGACCGTCGTGTCCCTGCGCCACCGCCGTTACGCGTCTACACAATCCCAGCCTGCCGCTGTCCACTCCCACTAGTCCTTCCTCCGCCGACGATGCCGACTCGCCGTTGCACCTCACACGCCCCTCTGCCCGCCGCCATTCACTTCCACCAGCCGATTGCACCCACACGGCCGCGGCCGCCACCTCGTTCTCCGAGCATCCGAACGGCGTTTGGGAGTGCGCGGCGTCCATAGATAAGACGGCGCCGCCGCCGTCTGCGGATGTGGCCGGATGTGCGGGAATGGGATGTGCAGGAATGGATTTGGGGAGGGGGTTGTAGGGTGTTTTTTATGAAAATTAGATAAATTTCAAGGACTTAATTGTAATTTATTAAAGTTTGATTTATTTCAATTTGGTTCAAGTGTCAAATATGTATGTTGATAAACGGATTAAATCAACGTAATCAATATAAAAATTAACACAAAGATTGTAAAAAATGAGATTTTATTGAAGATTTTTGAAGTCGTTTACAGTACTGGGAGGTCGGTTTTTCAATGTACGCCAAGTCGGTAAACAATGAAATAACCGAGTTAAATATATGAGTATTTATGACTTTTTGCCGAATCCTCGTATTGTTTTCGAAACTGCTATTTATAGTTATGCTTGGCACACTTCCCTAGACAAATCATTTCCATTTTAATGAAGATTTGACATCTTAGGGGCGGCGATGACGTAGATGAACTTTTTAGGTAATGATTAGCATGGGCGCGCCTCTATCTGTGTGACGGGTGTCACATCTGTCGGATCGAAGTCGGTTCGTATTGCGATGTCGGTATTTTGATAAACTTTCAGCATTCTACGACTTCCTGATAAATTATTCTTCAACCGAGTTGGTTTTTTCAAGGTTTCGACGACTTGTGTTGACGACTTTCGAAGATCTGCGGTTCCATCTACAAGTAACGAGATGAGATTACCGAGGTGCCATATATTCTGCTTTACATCGTCCAAGATCCAGTTTGTGGTTTAGACTTCACGATTTCTTTAATCTAACCTTAATTTCAAGATATTCTATCTTGGTATCAACAATGTAATTTATTGAAAGTCTAATAAATGTATACTAATTATAAATAAAATGCACATTATATACATAATAATTTATTTTGAATGTTTATATTAATTCGGTTGATTAATCGAATAATTACGAGTGCACATTAATTTTTTCTTTCAATGAATAATAATATAAAATATAAAATAATAAATTCATAAATATTAAATATAATTTTATAATATAAAAAATTTGATAAAAATTCAATTTGTAAATTTTAATATATAAAAATATATTAAAATAATAGATACACTTTTATAATAATAAATAATAAATTATTTCGATTATTTAGGTCAATTTGATGTGCAATTATATCGACTAAATCTATTTTTCAAAAACACATAATTTTTTTCAAAAACACATAATTTTTTTCAAAAACACATAATTTATATTTGATTGTATAAAGTAGTGCACTTTATATATTAACACGATGCACTTTATACAACAACATGTTGCACTTTATAAAACCGCATGTTGCACTTTATCAACATGCTCTACAATTGACGTTACCAGCTCTCCCACCAAAACGTCACACAACTTAAATTTAAAAAATGGATAAACATAATAATATAACCACAATCACATCATTTATTCACACAAAACACAAGCACGTTGACGTACCAAAAATACATTATTTCACTTTACACGTCAACGCGTTGCACTTTATAAAACAACACGTTGCACTTTACCAGACAATACATTGCACTTTATCACGAATATCAGATTGCGTATTAGAGATCGAAACAGACCGAACACAAATTTTTGTCAACCAAAAATAATATAAAAATAATAAATAAAATTATTAACATATTAAATATAATTTTAATATAAACAACAAATTATTTTGATTATTTAGGATAATCGGTTAATCGAGTCGAATAATCAATTGATTATGTTCATTTTCAGTTTTATTTGACGTTGCACTTTATAAAACAACGCATTACACTTTACAAAACAATACGTTGCACTTTACAAAACAATACGTTGCACTTTATCGCGAATATCAGATTGCACATTAGAGATCGAAAACGACCGAACTTTTACATTTTATTTTCATTATTTGTTTTTACTTTTAAAACGCACATATATACACAATTTTGTGCCATTCACTTATCGTAAAAAATATGACGTATTTATAAAATTTTAAATAATCACGTATACATATGACATTTTTTTTTAAGTGTATGACAATATTTTTTTAAAGTGCACACATTCATACAATATTGTGCATCTAATGTGTCATTAATGTGCATAAATTAATCTTCATTTAATTTTAACATGCCACAATATA